TATATATATAGAGTGTATCTCTCATATTTTAGTATTATGCAATTGTTCTTATTTTTGAGCGAGGATACTTCCCCGCTCGTCGTGCCGGTGGGCACGGGTTTCGAGAGTTTGATTTGAGTTTTGTAAGGAAAGGTTTGGGTGGGTTGATTTGCAAGTTTCACTGAATTTCGGATTTAGCTCGGATTGAGCAAACTATATATGTATGAATATAATGGTTTTTAATGTATTGAGTTCATGCATGGTTTTCTAACAGTGGGGTTATACTACTTTGGTTTAAATTGAACTAAACGTTGTTTTGTCCACTCACAATTTTCTGTTTTGCGCCCCACAGCCAGTAGTGACTGGTACGAGCAGCAGAGCTGTGTCGTGTGCCCTTGAACCGTGAACTTTGGTGCTCCGAGCTTTGGTAGAGCTTCGGTACCCTGTTAACTCGTAAAACTCTATTCTTACTGGTTGGTTGAAGAATTCTGTTAGATGCTCTGTTATTGCCCAGTTAGAATTTGGTATTCTGAGGCCGGAGGCCATGGTTTGTAACACTAAGCTTTGTGTATATTTTACGCTGGCTGTTGGGTTGAATAAATATCTGTGTTTTTGACAGGTTGAAATTTTTTGGGTTATGTCCTGTTTACAGGGGAGACTCTGCCAAAATTTTGGTAGAAAGTCTCGGTTTTTAGTACATGGGCCCGGCATCTGCGGAATGCCGGATATTTAGGCGGGATCCGACCCGGGTTCCGAGGAAATCCGGGGCGGGTCTTGTCAGAACTGGCGTCTACTGTATGTAAAGATGACGGTTTTTTTTTTAAAAAGGGTCGCCTATTGTGAAGTAAAGATGACAGTTTTTTTTTTAAAAGGGTCGTCTATTATATGTAAAGATGACGGTTTTTTTTTAAAAAGGGTCGTCTATTATGAAGTAAAGATGACAGTTTTTTTTTTTTAAAGGGTCGTCTATTATATGTAAAGATGACGGTTTTTTTTTAAAAAGAGTCGTCTATTATATGTAAAGATGACGGTTTTTTTTAAAAAGGGTCGTCTATTATATGTAAAGATGACGGTTTTTTTAAAAAAAAGGGTCGTCTATTGTGAAGTAAAGATGACGGTTTTTTTTAAAAAAGGGTCGTCTATTATATGTAAAGATGACGGGTTTTTTTAAAAAGGGTCGTCTATTGTGAAGTAAAGATGACGGTTTTTTTTTTAAAAAGGGTCGTCTATTATATGTAAAGACGACGGTTTTTTATTTTAAAAATGGTCATTTATTATATGTAAAGAAGACGGTTTTTTTTAAAAAAACGTCGTCTTTTAAAACACGCTAAAAAAAAGGCCGCTTAAGTGAATTCGCGCTCGAGAAATTTTCAAATTTTCCCCCGTCTTTGAAAGCCTTATCTCTCATTAACAAGCGTCGTCTTTTAAAACACGCTAAAAAAAGGCCGCTTAAGTGAATTCGCGCTCGACAAATTTTCATATTTTCCCCTGTCTCTGAAAACCTTATCTCTTCCTCCTTGAAACCCTCATGAGCTCTCTAAAACACCCTCATGAAAGGTTTGATTTGAAAGTGACCTAATCTCTCAATACCCTTCTATATCTTGCTAGTGAATTCTGGATTAGTCTCTTTGCGTTTCTGGTATGTTCTTTGTCTCCCTGATTTCAGATTTTCTGTCTCTCTTGATTTGTTTGGTTTGTTTACATTTTTTATTTATTTCTAGTTTCTTTTTAGATTTTCTTATTTGGTTCTTAGGAGATGAGGAGGAAGCTTGCAGATTTATAACTTTTTCTTTTGCAGGTTTTCTATGTGAGTCGTATGTTTTTTTGTTGTTGAAAATTTGTTACCTTCTCTTTTCACCATCATTTTCTTTATATATTTTTCCTTCTGCAGGTTCTTGATGGTCTTTTTTATGCTCATTTTACAAGTTTTCTATGGAAATATGGTCTAATGGAAAAATTTCTCTTCCACCTAATTTTATATGTTTATAATCTTAGCTTTTTTTTTTTTTCTCTTTGTCATTTTGATTTATTTACAGGGATGATGGAGGAGACTTCAGTTGTGCATCATTTTTCTGTTTGGATGAGGAAGGCTTGGATTAGGAGTACGTAGGTCTTGTTAATTAGGAAAAGATTGTACTACTTAATTGGTAGGAATTATGTTTGTAATAAAGATTGGTTAACTATGTAATAACTATTGAATCTTCAAGTTTTATGAAAGAAACTATTTTTGAATGTATATATTCATTAATAAAGCATTATGGTTGGTTTTCCAGTTAAAATCGTTGTATAGCATCATATGAAATCAAAAAGAACTAAAATGTAGCAGTTTGGGAACTTATTAGACGACGGTTTTCATAATAAATCATGGTCTTTACAGATAATTAACGACGGTTTTTATAACCCAACCGTTGGCTTTACAGATAATTAACGACGGTTTTTATAAAAAGGGTCGTCTATTATATGTAAAGATGACGGTTTTTAAAAAAAAGGGTCGTCTATTATATGTAAAGATGGCGGTTTTTTTTTTAAAAAAGGGTCGTCTATTATATGTAAAGATGACGGTTTTCATAAAAAACCGTCATCTTAACCTACAATACACGACGGTTTTCATAAAAACCCGTCATCTTAACCTACAATACACGACGGTTTTATTAAAAACCGTCGTCTTCCCTCCTATAATTAACGATCTTTACCTCTAAACAACGACGATTTTCTTTAAAAACCGTCATCTTTACAGATAAACAACAACGGTGAAAAGCCGTCGTAGTTTGACACCCAAAAAGATGGCGGTCGATTTAACAACGGTTTTCAAAGCATTACAACGACGGTGGATCCCCGTCGTCTATTTCGTTTTTTGTAGTAGTGGAAATCTTACTCACATGTCAAACTAGAACTTATAAGTTGCAATGGTACAAACTAATCCTCATACTTGAGATATCATAATTGTCTTGTGGACAAGTCGTTTGTCTTTGATATCACTATACGGTCATTCCAAGAGGTATAACTTAAAGGTGATTTCAGAATTCTCGACAAGCTCACAGAGGCAAATGAATATACAAAAAGGATTTCTGCTCTTAGTAAAGAGAAAGTTTGAAATCTCATAATGATGTCAAAGAAGTCAATACCGGAAGACTTGAGTCCTTTACCTTGAAGGGGTTTCAGGGGTGGGTGTAGTTGTTTATTGAAAAAAATTGTAGGTCTCTGAACTGTCCGTACAATGACATAATCAAATCATATAAGATCCCTTCCAGATTTACCTTTATTTCCAAGTAATTTTCGAGTCGCTGCCTCTTCTAGCGGATTACAATTAGCTTGCACATTTTGTTAATTGAATCTGGACCCAAATATCCACTTATGCAAATCACATTCCACTAAGATGGCCTAAATTCGCATGTTTATTTAGTGGGTTTAGAATATACCCAAACAACTTGAAATCCATAATCTCATGTATTTAAGAGGCTTCATTTAGACGGATGAATTTAAAAGAAAGGATTTAGATTTGACAATAAAAGTAAATTTTTTACAAAATAAAAGCAACACAATCGATTGGAGATATGAAATAACTAGATGTAGTATATTACAAAAACAAAATAATACAAAATAGTGCATTTGAAATGGATATTTTTTTTTTGAAATAAACCGATTCATTGCAATGAAGATTAGCTGAGGCAACAGTCTTGGGTGAGGAGTTCCTGAACAAGCTCAGGGGCCTCACCAAACCAAAAACAATCTTGGTGCAAATGAAAAGCAAACAAGGCAAGCCTGTTAGCGACACGGTTACAAAGCCTAGGCACATTGGCCACGGAAGATGACTGGAAGTGAGAGAGGAGCACACAACAGTCATCAATCAAAACCCCCCCACTAGAAGCAACAGAGGTATCTTGCGAGACAGCTATAGCAAGCTTGGCGGAGCCGCACTCGAAACAAACCCGTTGGAGATTCAACTCCACAGCCAACCGGATGCCCGCCAGCAAAGACACAGCGTGAAGATGATCAAGAGACCCAATATTCCTAAGTTTTTTAGAACAAGCCGCCAGAACGCTCCCTGACTCGTTGCGGATCACCACCCCAATACCCCCACAACGATCGGCAGCAAGCCACACTCCACCGACGTTGACTTTGGCAAAACCGTCCCTAGGCGCAATCCATCTGTGAATAGGCTGAAGGGGGACTGAAGGTGATTGACCCAAGAGCAGACTATGAAACTCCTACAACCACGAAGAGGCCTGAAACACTAAACCCGTGGGACTAGTACCCACACACTCCCAGATACGAGAATTACGGTCTTTCCAAAGAGCCCAAAGAAGCATAAGAGCTAGAGCAAACGACTGCTTAGAGAGAAGGATAGAAGCAGCCTTTAACCAATCTGACATGCTCGACGCACGGAGACGAGACAACTTCGGGCCCAGAGGAGAAGCCGACCAGACAGCGGTAGCAAAAGGGCATTGGACAAAAAGATGCAGGGAAGATTCCTCAGAAGAGATACACCTCACACAGTCTGTACCAATATCCACTTTCCGATGATACAACCTTACTCGGGTAGGAATAATGTCCCAAGCAACTTTCCAAGCACAAATTTTAACTTTCGGAGGGATCTTGGCACACCAGATCGCAGACCAAAACTTCTTATCAGTCTCAACAACAGCAGCAGGAAATTGAGGGAGGGCCACCTCCCCACTTATCAGCCAATCCCGGGCAACACCATAGGCACTGCGAACGGTGAAACAACCATTTGGCTCGTGGTGCCAAATCCGACGATCTTGAGGCTTGCGAAAGCTCAAAGGGATCGAACTAATAGCCTCCACCTCCCCCACCGGGAAAAGATCATGGAGGAGTCGAAAATTCCAGTTTCCGTCAGCCTCAAGGAGGGCATCCACTCTCAGATTTCGGAAAGAGTCATGGGGTGGGGGGGAGAGGACTTGTAAAGAAGGAAGTCTAGGGATCCACTTATCAAACCACACCCTAATGGAAGACCCATTGCCGACTTGCCAACGCATCCCTCTCTCCATAACCTGTTTGGCAGCAAAGATGCTACGCCAACAAAAGGAAGGGTTATTTCCTTCTGGGGCCAATAAGAAGTCAGAACCAGGGTAGTACTTAGCCCGGAATAAGCGAGCCACCAAAGAGTTTGGCTGTTGACAAAGCCGCCATCCTTGTTTGGCCAAAAGAGCTAAATTGAAAGCACGGAGTTCACGGAAGTTCAGACCACCTTCCAACTTGAAGTTGCACAACTTCTTCCAAGGCAGCCAATGAATCTTACGTTTGTCTTTATCCCCACTCCACCAAAATTTGGCAACAGCACTATTTAATTCATCACAAAAGCCTTTAGGAAGCAAAAAGCAGTTCATGGTGTAAGTTGGCAGAGATTGAGCCACTGCCTTAATCAAAATCTCCCTACCAGCCCCACTCAAAAGCTTACCTTTCCACCCTTTAAGCTTATTCCACAACTTTTCTTTGAGGGAAGCAAAGACCATGCGTTTGGCCCGACCCACAAAAGTAGGCAAACCAAGGTACTTTTCATGGACCGAGACACAGAGCACCCCCAAAATACTAGAAAGCACAGCACGAGTGTGTTCCTTCACATTTTTGCTGAAGACCACGCTGCTTTTTAGGAGATTGACAACCT